TGATAGTATCTAATAAGATATTTAAATTTCTTTTAAAGCAACTTGTGATGTATTTTTCGTCTAGGTAATTGACGAGGCTAATAAAAATGGTTATTTATCTTTTACATTTTCTTTTTTCATAGTTTTTGTTGGAAACAAACAAGATACGAGAATTACTCTGACACCAATTTGTTGAGAATTCGGCCAAATAATTAGAAATGAGAAAATAAGGGTAATATGAAAATAATTGATTACACAAGAACACAAGATTTATGTGAAAGAAGAGGAGAATTTCATGTCCCAAAAAACTAAAATTGTGTTTACAAAATTTGATACTCTCAGTCTAAATCAAAATAATCATTTTAATTTTCTAATGTATACAACAATAATCTAATTGTTATGTCAAGTCTTTGAAGAGCCTACACCTTGTGGAATATTTATAGGAACCTTCTTTTGCAGTTATAGATGAAGTAGAGCACAAAAAAGAAAGTTGAAACTAATCAAACCCGCACAATTCAGAAAAACAAATCTGACGGTGCACAATACCTACCTCTTTTTTCTTGTTGGGCATTGCAATGCCCCAAGGCTGGCACCGCGGCCCAGTCCCTACTTTTCTCATTCTCTCCCGGCGTTCCTAACTCCATCCTTGTCGAATCCCAAAGTTTTTATTCCCATCAAATTCTTAATTCATGATGAAATTTGTTCGCTTATCAATCTGAACTTCCTAACCAAAATTATCTAAACTCCTTGCATAATTCAAACTTTCAAAATCACATGGAATATGAGTCACAAATATAACAAATTCCACATTCACACAAATTTCATAGAAATGAATTAAGTTTCACTCTTCTAGTCATTCTCCAACTCTTCTCCCTATTGGACATACTCAGCAACTATTAACTAAATCCAAGCACTGCTTACCAGTAGAACTACCTTACGCATCATCATTGCTTCAATCATCCCGTTCACTTCCAACTCCAACAAAGTCACCAAACCTGCTCGAATCACCACGAGCAGCACCAACTCTACTTGAGTTACCAATATGCTCAAATTACCATGAGAACCATGATCAATAAGATCACAGTTAGCTCCACCCGAACTACAAGAAGATTCCCCACTATTATTGTTCGAATCACCCGAACAACTTAATCACTACCAACTTTACATGAGTTATTAAGCTGCAGTTGCATCCATAGTGACCGCCAGACCTTCTAACATATATTATTGGGACTTTATTTGGTTCTTTAACACAACCCAAACACGCTTGCTAACTTTCAGAACTCCACATTTATCAGTATACATATACCCTTTTGAATCAAAAGTATTCAAAAAGATTAAATTCATGTTTATACCTAGACCAAATGATCAAACCGTTATTGGTACAAAATAGATTTTTGGAAATAAACGAGATGAAAACGGTATAAATTGTGCGTAACAAGACTAGATTAGTGGCCCAATGTTACAATCAAGAATAAAGTATAGATTTCGAAGAAACTTTTGAACCGGTTGCTAGATTAGAATCTATTCGCATGATTCTTGCTTTTGCTTGCCATAAAGGTTTTACTCTCTATCAAATGGATGTCAAAAGTGCATTTCTAAATGATTTTATTCAAGAAGAAGTTTATGTTGAGCAACCTCCCGATTCCAAAATCACAAATTTTCGGAAAGTATTTAAACTTATAAAAACTCTATATGGTTTGAAACAAACTCCTAGATCTTGGTATGAAAGATTGAGTGAATTTCTTATTTCAAATGGTTTTCAAACGAGAAATGCGGATACCACACTTTTATTAAAATCAAAAGGGATGACATGATTGTTGTACAAATTTGTGTTGATAATATTATTTTTGGTGCAACTAATATTTCCCTTTGTGAAGAGTTTTCAAAGTGTATGAACAAGAAATTTGAAATGAGTATCATGGGAGAACTAAATTTCTTTCTTGGACTTCAAATTAAATAAACTAATGAAGACATCTTCATTTGTCAAACAAAGTACATTATAGACATGTTCAAGAAATTTGATTTTGAAGACTTGAAGCTAATGAATACTTCAATGAGTTCATCAATTAAATTAGATAAATATGAGCAAGATACTTTAATTGACATAACAAAATATCGAGGTATGATCGGATCTCTCGTTTATTTAACCGCTAGTAGACTCGATATTATGTTTAATGTTTGCTTATGTGCTATATTTCAATCCAATCCTAAAGAGTCACATCTAAGTACCCTAAAACTAATTTTTAGATATCTATGTGGCACTGGAACTTTGGGACTTTGGTATCCAAATGGCACTCATATTGACCTTATTAGCTATTCAGATGCCGATTGGGAGGGTTGCACCTTTGATTGAAAAAGTACAAGTGGAACTTGTCACTTTCTAGACTTTGTTCTTGTGTCATGGTTTAGCAAGAAATAAAGTTTCGTTGCACTATCCACCGTCGAAGACGAATATATCTCGGCCGCTAGTTGTTCTACTCAAGTTTTTTGGATGAAACAAACTCTTAGCGATTATCATTTAACTTTTTAAAATACTCTCATTATGTGTGATAACACTAGTGCTATAAATTTGTTAAAAATTCCATCTTGCACTTTTGCACTAAATATATTGAAATTCGACATCATTTTATTAGAACTGTTGTTCTCGACAGTAAAGTTGTTGACCTATGATTAAATATAACTCCATTTGTTTTGATTATAACATACTAGATACTTATATTTTAACAAGTCTTGTTTCTTGAGTTTTTTTCATATATAAATCTTCTTGAGTATTCAAAGACACAAAACGTCATCTATTGAAGAACAAGCGATCAAAAGAGACTCGAAGAGAACAAGAACTTTGAATATTAGAGTTTAGAAGTTCTTTATTGAAACTTCAATTTATATGTAAAGGTATCAACTCATCAATCTTTAGCAAGTGGATAAAGCTCAAATTATTTTCATAATTCATCACTTGCGTAAAAATGTTTTTAATTCATAATATGAAATAGATTTTGGAAAAATGAATATTTTAATATAAAAATTAAATTCCAAAAATCTCATACTTCGGTCAACCGAAATATACTCCGGTTGACCGAAATTCTGTTCTACCGAAATGACAGAAATGTTCAGCTGGAATTCCAATAGTTTAAAATATACAGCGGCTATATTCATCTTTCGGTCAATCGAAATGCTCAACCGTAAATTGCTGATTTTCAAACATTTTGATCTATAAACAGCTCACTATTGTGCATTCAATGTCAACAACTTACAANGATTATATATTCTATTTCATTTATTGAAAAAATCTTTTGATTGATCAAACTAGTTTCATCTATTTTGCACGGAAACTTTTCAATCTCTGTATTTTCAATCCTTGATAAAGGTTTTCTTTACCAACACTTTTATTGAAGTGTAAATATCTCTTCACACTCAACTTGTATTATTTGTTAAGAGAGATTATAGGTTGAAAATTTTGATACAAGGTACAAACTATTTCATTAACCATTATTCATCAAAGCTTACAATATAAACACTTGAACTTTATTATTCTCTATCTATTGAAGTATTATTCTAACTCTCTAAATAATTGACTTGATTATATCATTTGTTAAGAGAGATCTTTCAATTGTAAAATTATCATTTACATTTTGGTGGTTTCGAGAACCTTGTGAAAATTCGATTGTTGTTAAGGATAAGTGTTTCTTGTTGTAAGTCATTTAAGGATTGGTACTTCTTTCTTGTAAGTTACCACTATAGTGCATTTGGACTTACTCGTGACGGAGAGTTTGGTAACGGAGACGTAGAACACATTGTATATTGAACCCTATTAAATTCACTTGTCATCTTTACATTATTGCACTTTACTTTAAATTTATATTTACATTGTGCTTTATCTACTTAAGTGACAATATTTGAATTAAGTTATCGAATTTGCAT